ATGTTTATCCCATAATCATTTTGTAGTCTCAACAAATATTTGTTGAGTATAGAGAATGTGCCAAACACTGTGTTAAGTTCTAGCTGTTCAACTGGACACACACTGCTATTGGCCATTAAAGCTATTTGACAAGTGGCTGTGGCAGACATCTTAATATTTCCTAGGCTAAAATGGGTGAAAAGAGAAAGTGATTGGGTGATCAGAAATGAAACCCAAACTCTGATTTCCTTTGAATAACCTCCTGGGATTTATCCCAGTCATCATTTGCAAATACATTCCAGAAAGAAACAAGTTCCCTGCTCAGCTCTCTAGCTGGTTGCTGAATAAAGAGAATTTTTTCTTATCCTAGTGGTTGTTCTGAGCCATAGGAGAGCACTCAGGTACAGAAAGGTTCTGTACCTATTAGCACAGTCGACATAACCCTTGTTTTATGGCCTGGGATGAACTGAGCATCCTTGAAAAACTAGCAATGTCCATAATAATCCCAATCACAAGTGAAAGGCTTTCCATAGATATAAGAAATTATTTAAATTTCTTTTATAAGTATTATTTATCAGCTTAAGGTCCTTCCTCATTTTGCCCATTTCTCTTTTATTATCCTACATTGGGCTGTTTTGTTCAGCCAGATAATGGGTGTCCTGTCTTTGTGTATCTAAAGTACAACAGTGACCTGTTTAAAGATCTAAATGTGTTCTTTATGTATTTTTAAAGAAGATGAGTAAAATAGAATACATTTCTCTTTGCCCTGATGATAATTCTTTGTTTCTTTCAAATAATATTTGTGATTAGGTCAACTACATTGGCTATCACAGATACAGATTCACAACTGTGTAGAGAAACTGATCGATAGGTACATACAGGGAAGTCTGACAATTTAGTGGAATTGCTTTCAAGTAATTTGACACATTAGTACTCACAGACATTCACTGGACAGTAATCCTCATTAGAAAAGTTGGAGTATTGGGGTCACTCGCTCTAGTCCATTTCTGAGACCTGAGCTATAACCAAAAGTCAGAGCTAAAGGAAATAGAAATGAACCTATTCCAGGCCTTAGAATTGTTTCTCTAAGTGAGCTGTCTCCCTCCTCTTCATTTCTCCTTTTTTCTCTCCCTGTTCTCTTTTTCTTTTTACTCCCTTCCCTTCCAGCTCCTTTCTTTTTAGCGTGCTGAATTCATTAGATGGCACAGTGTAAATCAATAGTAAACGCTAACCGCCTACTCCGTGCTCAGTTACGCAACACCACATAACCGGTACACAGAGACAAAAAGGGAAAAAGCACACACAGCCTTTACATTCAAAAGCTCTTGCATAATTTTACTTTTCCACAGCCAAGAAAAAAAAAGGAAATAACAGATGGGGAAACTTACAGTTTTTTTTTCCCTTTTCTCAGACTGCTTAGAAGGGAGTTAGTTAACATCCTTGGCCATTGCTAGTTTCCCTAGGCAGCAGCAAAATGTCCCGTAATTGTCAGTGCCTGAACTGGCTTTAAACAGGTCTTTGTGACCCTATTTGATGCAGCGAATTTTCCAGGTAATAGAAGACTGCACTTATTCTGAGGTGTTTTTACTTAGTTTTAATTTATTTTATGAAACCCCAAAACATGTGAAGTATGAACTGAATGTTAAAATAGAAAGAGGACAACGAAGATGTGTATGTGTGTCTCTGTTTGTATGTTTTCACTTGAAAGGTATCCTGATGTCTTATTTATATACAAAGCCAGTTACACAAACCCATCTTTCTCTTTTTTTTACTTTGAAGGCTATATAGCATTTATTTTTTTTTTCTTTTGACAAAGCACATTCAACCCCAAAGTCTTAATGAAAGAGAAAACATCTAGGTGATACAACAGATATAGTTAATTCAAACTCTGTATATTATTCATCAACTAAACAACCATTTTACTTAAGAACCTCTGAAATTCTCATTTGGAACTTTCTATCACACTACTTCTGGGAACACCTTTGGGTCTCTGGGTTCACTGTACTACCTTTCTTAATCCCTCAACTGTATAATAAATAGTTTTTCTTTCTCTCTGTCTTCCTTAACCTTTCACCCTTTACCCACACTCCCGGTATTTTCATTATAGAAACTCCTTCCCAGTTTAAAAGAGAACATAGTGAGATTTGCATGTAATGTATCAGTGTTTCTTCCCATCACATTTTGTTTCACTGAACTAACTGATGTCCTTTGGGAACTAGGCACGTGTCTGATAAGGGAGGGCGGAGAGGTTTGGGTCTCTGTATTGTTCTTCCTTTTTAGCTTCTGCCTATCAAATGGCTATATAATGGATAGAAAATGAGAATGCACATTACTAGGCACTGTTAGCCTAGGAGCAATTAATGTAGGCATGAGAAAGGCGATGGTAGTGGTAGTAGTTCTGATTATTTTTAATGCAAACAGAAAAGATGGAAGGTGGGTGGGAGAGAGCCTGGATACGGTCGTCATTGTGTGAGCAGGCACTATTGAAGCACTTCATCTCCTGGTATTTGGGATGAGCATGATTCTTTTAGGCCATATTTTACTTCAGGATATTAAAGCCATAAGAAATTGGTTCATTTGATTTTATTGAAGTGATGACATGAATTTTTCCTTGAATTTTTTTCTAGTGGATTAAGGCTATTTTATAATTTGTTTAACATTGTCTTACGTTTTCACTTATTGCAATTTAGAATTTGTTTTATGGAAAAATGCATATATGATTCTTTGCTGTAACAACTGAGCAATCAAGATCATTGGGATTATCGCATCTATTTATTTATGAGACATGTCACTCTATATGTATTACTGTTGAGTCTGAATTTCAATATGCATTTTTATATAGTTACTTGGTTATCTAAAAAAAAGAAGTCTACACCGTATAAAGTGAATTCTTTATAATGTAATTTTAACATGATTAATTAATCTGTAACCAAGTTCTTATTTCTGATATGTCGTTCTGTACGCAGGAAGTTAGTTTCAGTAGCCTGATTTTCAAATAGATTGCCTGGATTTAAAAGAAAATTTAGAGCCCTGAAAGTAGGATAATTAGCATTTTCTTGGTTGTCAAAATTAGTTGGAGGTATCTGGTTATCAAAGAAGTGGAGGAGAAGGTCTTTGATCTTTTTCCTTGCCTCCCTTTGTCAGGGTAGCTTCCATTTGCATCTTGGTTGGTAGGTTTCCCCCTCCCTGAACCCTATTAGGGCAGGATTGATCTTCCAAAGTCCAAGGTGTGCCAGCCTAATCTGTTCAGCCCTAGGAACATGTAGGTTACTTCTCGTTTTGTTTTTGTTTTTGTTTTGTAACATAGGAACCAGGTTTAGGAACTTCTGAGAGGCTTAAACTTTCTATTCTCAAGACATGCAAGAAGCTAGGGAGCACCCTTAACCATTTTCTATAAGTCCTCCACAACTCTTTCAATGTAGCTCCTTGGCTTGTTGCTATTGGCAGTGGTAGTAGGTATTTTTAATGCTGCAACAAGAACCTCAGTCACTGACTTACCTTTTCAAGCAGATTTACTCCAGTTATGTCTGGCACATAGAAGTGGCTCCATAAATATTTTTCATGTTTTGGTGAGCTGGTGAGGAACCTGCTGTGACCATTCCTTCATGGTGCTTGTGCAGGTAAGCAGTGAGCCACGAAAATCATAAAGGAGCAAGAAGAAATGAGATACAAAGCTCCTCAGGCTCTAGTAGGGGACACGTCACGCCTTTTTGTGATCAAGCCCTTTTCATCCTCTCTCTGTCTGTATAACAGGAGAAAAATTCAGAAGGCAATTTTACATCTCCTAGATGTCCTTTTTCATGGTCAGAACTGCTCAGACCATTGGCTCATTTAAAAAACAATTTTTGGCAAGCTACTTTGGTGATCCTCATTAACTTTCATATGCAAATAAGTTAGGTACTTAAATGATTCTAGCTCTCAAATATACTCCTGTATTCTGCCACACTGTCCTTTGAATCTTGGCATTTCTCATTTCTCTGGACGATTATCTTTGGTATTTTATTTATATAGGTCTTAGAATGGTAACTCTGGAAAATAATTTATAGAGTTCTTTTATATAATGTTTTATTACTATTAGCTACATGAATTCTTGATTTTTCAAAATTAGTTTTGGCTTAAATTAATCATGCTGGTCATTTTTAAGGCTTTCATTGAGAGGGTGGTGTTAGGGGTGGGAATGATCTCTGGGAAAACATCCGTGACTTCTAAATTTTAAAGGCATCAAAAAGAAAAGCTTGTAGAATTTTTGATAGACAACTGCTTATTAGGCAAGCAGTTCTTAATATGCAGATTATATAATATTTGAAGATTTTGTTGCTTCCTAGTAGAAGCTTTTTAAATGTTAATTTTGAGGTTTGTTTTGTTGTTCTGTGACTTAGCATAAAAGGTTTTTGTTTTAAAAGGTTTCAATTCACTCATTCCATTTCCTATAGGACTTGAAACATAATACTGTACATTTATTTATACTCATAAAGGAGGATAAGGCCAGTAACTCACAGCTCATGAAACCAGGGGTAAATAATCCATAGCTTGTTGTCCCACCATTGCCACAATATTTAGAACTATAACATAAGTAACAAACAGTAAAAACAAGGAGAAACCAGTGCGTTTTTATTTACAAAATGTTTAATCAAAATTACAGTAAAGTTCAAATGGAGCTGCAAATCCTGGTGGTTTACAATGGTTTGATTTATTTTTTAAAACAGACCATGGATAATTAACCATAAAACAGAACTTTCTCAACACAAGTTTCAGTGAATTGCAGAAACGGGCAGCGAGTCATTCATAACTGGTTGCAACTGGTTAGAGCCCTTAGTTAAACATGCAGGCAGTCACAAATGCTATTTTCTCTGTACAGTTGTATTTTCATTCTCAAAGCAAACATCTTCTACTTTTTATATAGTGTCACTAAGTCAGTGTCCCATAAAAGGGAGCAAATAGGTTATTTTCTATAATTGCCGTTTGTCATACGTTTTGTCAAATTAATACCTGGCATTTAAAAGGACTTTTTTTCATTTCAGAATGTTTCACCGTCGCTAACTGGATTTTCATCACAACATTGCTGTCTGGTAAGTATCCTTCATTATTTTTAAAATGGCAATCCAAAATACTGAGATATAAAGAAGTCAAATCTATTTCTACAAATCTGAGAAAAAATTATACCTAACAGCTATGGTGAGTCTACTACCCGAAGTACTAAATTTTAACAAAACACATCTGATATTGGTAAATGGTAGATCTTTCCTATCCTATTTGTTCACTTGAAAAACCATCCTTTAGAAAGATAAGAAATGTGATCGCCAGAACCTGTTATCATAGATTTCAACACTTTAGAATGACTTTGCTAACCAGGGTGGAAGACTCTTCGGAGATGTATTATTTCTATAGGAAACTCCTGAGTAGACGCATAGGTTGATGGGGTGGAGTTACACGCTGGTATTTTCCACGTAGGACATAGGATATCTTGGCATTAAGCAAATAAACACAAAACCCTCCGGGCATATTTTGTGATACTTTTGATGATGAATTAGTATTCTGTGATAGTTTGTAAATTTGAAATACAGTTTGCTTTGTTTGGATCAATCTTAAAATCAGACATGACTGCTTTGCGTACACTCACAAACAGAAGGGGAAAATTCCCTGTAGAGTTCTGAATAAGGCCCCTTCCTTACCAGTTAAGTAAGAGGACCAACACCAGGACTCCAAGTGAATATAGGTGTGAAGTTTTATCTATGTCTTTTAGTGAGAATGTATAAAGTTTCAAAAAGGTTGGTATTGTGACCTTCTAGAATTCTTGATATTTCCGCGGCTGAGAGATGGGTTCAGGTCAGGACTGAAGGTGTGTAGGTGGAACATCAGCAGGTCAGACAGTGCCTGAAAGAGCTAGAGGTTGAGTCTGCTAGAGGTTGTCCTGCATTGAGATGCACTGGCAAATGCCCTGGAAATGAGAAGGGCAGGGTGACAGGGGGACGCGCCTGGCATCTGTCTGTGCTCTGCCTGGCTCCATCCAGCTCCATTTAGTCATGAATATCATATCCATCCAAACCTCTAAAAGTGACTCTTGACTTCACTTTATATGAATGTGCATAAAATGAGGAAAATAATCTGTTGGACTAATAAAATAGCTTTCTAACAGGGACTTTCTGTATCCATTGCACATAATCCACAGAAGTCACTACGATGTTGTTTCTCATGCTATGGCAGGAGCCTTTAGGATTGTAAACAGCCGCCTCCTCATTCCTACTGCCAGGCTTTGTTGTTATGCAGCCGGGAAAGAAACTTGTATTAGTGGAAGCCTCAGGAGCCGAAGAGACAGGCTTATTTGGTAATAGGAATTTGTTGCTCCCTTTGAATTTATCACAAGGTGATCTCATCACAAAAAAGGCCTGAGTTTCACACCCATGCTGGCTTGCCAAGAAGCCAGTTCCTCCCCTATTTCTATCAAACCCACAGAAAGCTCTTTATGTTTCTATGATCAGATAAAATCTGTATTGACATTCCTTTTCCTGTGGGTGTATTTCGCTTCTAGATGTAAAGATTTAAACTATCAGGGCAATGCTGCGCGGTTGCTCTGTTTTAGTAAATGAAAAGCTCCTTGGGAAAGGAGAGCACATCTTTTCTACTAATGAACAAATATTTATTTTCATTTAAAAATGATACATGCTCATTAAAAATAATTTGGAAAAATACATAGGAGTAAAATGAAGAAAAATTAAAGTAATTATTTCTATAATTTAAATCCAGTCATTAATAACCATTTGATATATTTCCTTACTATCATTTTCCCCTGAGGATATATCTTTTAAACATGCTGTTATCCTACTTTCTATATAATTTTGTGTCCTGCTTTCAAAATTTAACGTAAGAATTTTACATGTAATTACATAGTCCTCATAAACATTTTAAATCAAAATGTACTTTTCCAGAAGAGAAAGGGTTCCTTTAGTCTGAATGTCCAATGAGAGCCTAATTTTTATTGTTATCTGCTTTCTGTGTCTCTGCAATACCTTTCATAACCAGTTATTGAAACAGTCAATAAATAATAAATGAATAAAAGTTCAAATAAATATATATATCTTTTAATTTTTATTATGAAAAATTTTTAAGTTGTAAATGTAGACAGATTACAATGAACTCCCATTTACCCATCATCCAGCTTGTACAATGGTTAACTCTTGGCCTATCATTTTCTCACTAAGTAATTTTGAAGCAAACCCCAGGCATTATAGCATTTAGTACATTCATATTTCAGAAGATTTTTACATGTTAAGGTAAAAACATTGAGGTAAATAGTTCTAATCCTTGTATAGGTGGTATAGCAGTATTTTTCTTCTTAGCATCCTGACATCCTATTTTCTAATATATGACAATTGATCATAAAATCTCATCAGTGAGTTTCATACTATTCTTAGGCACATCTGTCAGCCAAAGGGCAATTTGGTTGACTTGGAGAAACATTTCACAGATCTGGCTAGGTTTCTTCAGGGGAGCAATTTTTTGTTAGACACTTTTTTACTTTATTCAAATTTAGAATGATAATTTGCATGGCAACTCTATGCAGCATGAATTATCCTCATGGATAATCTATCTATTGGATAGATGCATGTGTTGTGTACAATCCTTTATCCAAGATGAAAGGAAAATATAGTCCTTGACTACTTAGAACTCCAGTCAAGCTGCAGCCAACCAATACTAGATAAATATGACAAATCTATAAAAATCAGATATAACCTTAAATTTTAAAGTTTTTAGTTCTTAAGGTTTATTGGTAGAAATGGAAAATGTATAATAAGTATGTGGGGCATTCAGGAAGTCTGAAAAGGAAGTTTATAGTAAGCATCTGATTCCTCTTTTAAAAAGCACTGTGTTTGGAGAGAAGGAGATTGTACATTGTAGAACAAAGGGTGTTCTCTATGTGTCTGTAGGTATTGCTCTAGTTTAGTCTAAGAATATTTTAAAGAAACCTCTATGAGTGGTTTTGCGCCCATAGCACAGTGGTTATGGCGATAGCCACATACACCAAGGGTGGCAGGTTCGAACCCAGCCTGGGCCAGCTAAACAAGTGCAAGAAAAAAAATAGCTGAGTGTTGTGGGTATAGTCCCAGCTACTGGGAGGCTGAGGCAAGAGAATCGCTTAAGCCCAAGAATTGGAGGTTGCTGTGAGCTGTGACACCACAGCACTCTTCTGAGGGCGACATAATGAGACTGTGTCTCAAAAAAAAAGAAAAAAGAATGAAAGAAAGAAACCTCAATGAGCCAGCTTTCCATGGCTAGCCTAGATCCTTTTACACAAAACACTCCACAGACGTAGATGCTGGATCCAAATTAGGCTGCCTATAGAGAATCTGCATTGAGGTTTTGCTGCCTCGGGTTTTGAATTGTAGGTCAGTGACTGTTGAGTAACAATGTGTTGCCCTACAGGTGTATTAATTACACTCATCAGAATTCAGGATGTGAGTAACTATGTAGCATCCTGCATCAGTATAAACTGAATTTATGTGTTACTCAGGTCTATTTAATCTTAGGAGCACATTTTCCATTGGCCTCGAAAGTGAGTAGCTGGAATATTGATGTGCCTAACCCTTGGGGAAGAAAAAAAGAGTTTCTCCATCACACTAAATCTCTAGAAAAATATGACAGTTAACAGTATGGACATATACAAAATATTTTCAGCCAAATCTTGTTGAGCAAAGCACATGGAAAAAACAAAGAAAGAAAGAAAGAAACAACACAAGCAATAAACTATCCCAAGCAAACAGAGCATCTGTAAAATTTTCCAGACTGACTGGTGCAAACAATACAAACTTCTTTTTTTCTTTTTATTTCTTTTTTCTTTTTTTCCTCCTCAACCTCAATCTTCAGATCATTTCTATTTCTCCTTTACCCTGGCATCACCATCATTAGAATGTTGGCAAAAGGTTAGAAAGTTGTCTGATGGCTTGGCTAAGGCGGGTATCACAAGGAAAGATAGGCAGAAACTAGCCGTTCTCCTATTTTAAAGTTGCAAGGATATTCTACCATAAGCCATAATAATAATATTTTAAAACAACTATCCTTTTTCATAGTTATTTTAAAATTGATCTTACAACACAACAGGTAAGATAAAGGTATGAGTCTGTCTTCACATCTTTTCTTACATGTGATACTGGATCATGTGCCTCGTGCCATATGAACCTGGAGTATAAACTGCCTTTTAAAGAGAAGTTTATCTATTTTTTTTAAGCTTTTGTGTTATATTATATTACACCCAAGTGAATCACCCAGGCCCCATCATTATAATAGCCATACTACTTACTTTTATTATTATTAACCGTGCTTGCTTCTTGGTGTGCGTGGGAGAACGCCCATTTCCTTGTGCTTGGCCTTTTTAGCTCCAGGTGTTCATTCAATTGTTGTTCTGTTAGTGACCTCGCATATCCTTGAGCTATAAAATACTTCTTAAAGTACCTGTTTATCCCTGGTTAAGTAGAGAATTGTGGTTGGATGATTCTGCTTTTTTTTTTTTTTTAATTTCAGATTGATAAGCAGGTACAAATGTTTAGGCTACACTGTTTTCATTTCCAAGGTAAAGTTCAAGTTGTAGTTGAGCCCTTCCCAAGGGGGAGAGGGGGCTTGCTGAACACCCTCACATTGTGCACACTAGGTGAGATCCCGCCAATCGCCCTCCCTCCTCCTATCTCCCCTCTCCCTCCTCTCCACTCTCCCTCATTAGACTACACTTGTGTTTTTCTTTCCTGTGGGCATGTATATTGGTTTCCTATTAATATTGAGTACATTGGATACTGTTTTTTCCATTCTTGTGATACTTTACTAAGAAAGATAAGTTTCAGCTCCAAACTTTTGTGTTTACCTGATTCTGCTTCTATAGAGCAAGGAATTCTTTATAAATACCTCCATCAAACCAGGATTTTAATTTTAGACCTAACAACACTGATAGTCCAAAAAAAAAAAATTAAAAATGGTTTGTTCATATCATCAGATCCTGTTTCATGAAGCTGGCCTGTCTTTTGTAAAGTTTATTGGATATGTAACCAGGATAATGCATTATTACTGTCAGGAGGGGAATGAT